CCTGTTTCCGATTCTGTGTCTCCCTCTCTCTCTGACCCTCCCCCGTTCATGCTCTGTTTCTCTCTGTCCCAAAAATAAATAAACGTTGAAAAAAAAAAAACAAATTTAAAAAAAAAAAACAACAGAAAAAGGAGATATATTCTGGAAGGATATGTGGAATTGAAAGGAAGGTCTTTATTTTTTGAGATGAGAGGAGGGCAACAGGGAGAGGGAGAGAATCTTAAGCAGGCTCCATACCCAATGTGAAGTCCAACATGGGGCTCTACCTCACGACTCTGAGATCATGACCTGAGCTGAAATCAAGAGTTGGATGCTTAACTGAGCCACCCAGGCACCCACAAAGGAAGGTCTTTAAAGCTAGGATCCTATGCATATTTATCAGTTGATAGGACAGATGCAGCAGTGAAGGAGACATTCAGGGAAGAGTGAAGGTGAGGTGAGGCAGCAACTAATACCTGAGTGGAGTCATTGATATGTGAGGGGGTGGACCAAGAGTACTAGTAGGGGGATTGTGTACCCACAAGATATGGAAGCTTTATCCACAGTAATAGAATGAAAAGGAAAAACTACATAGTTATGGTGAAAATTTTCATGATAAGAACAGTTTTCTCAGGGTGCTTCTGGCTTTAATAATATCTGCTTGTTAATTATTTCTAATTTTAATAAGTCTGGAGGTGGATGGACACAGGACTGGGTCAATCAATGGTGCATATATGATTTCCAGGACCTCCTTTTTTTTTTTTATTTTTATTTTTTTTTTAATTTTTTTTTCAACGTTTTTATTTATTTTTGGGACAGAGAGAGACAGAGCATGAACGGGGGAGGGGCAGAGAGAGAGGGAGACACAGAATCAGAAACAGGCTCCAGGCTCCGAGCCATCAGCCCAGAGCCTGATGCGGGGCTCGAACTCACGGACCGCGAGATTGTGACCTGGCTGAAGTCGGACGCTTAACCGACTGCGCCACCCAAGCGCCCCGTCCAGGACCTCCTTTTATCCTTTCACTCTGTTGTCCCCAGCTGGCTGGCTTTTCTTCCTCAGGCCTGTTGTATCCTTGGTACCAGATGGTTGTGTGGCACTAGGGAAGGGGAAAGGTCTGTGGAGTAGATATTCAATTGTGTGCCTCAGGAGTTCAGGCACATAGTAACTACATGAAGCAGATTCACCTAGCATTCAGGTTTGCCAGGCAAGTACAATGGAGAGAAAGAGGAATAGAAATTATGGACAAGCAATATCATGGACTGCAAAACTGAACTTGGCAAAAAAGAAAAGTGAGGATGTGAGTCAAGACTTCTAGAGGGGTTGAAGATTGTTTGCATAATTACTAGAGGAAGTGAACTGGAAAGATAAGATGCAGTGATCAAAGAGTCAGAGGCTCACAACTGTGATCTTCTAAATGATTTCATGAATGGAACAGATCATGGTGGTGAGTAGCTCAGGAGCAGCAGGAAACAGGATGGTTAAAAGTAAGGCCATGAGGAAGTAGAGGCAGGAACACTGAGTGGGTGACTCCTGTGCTAGGAATAGCCCTGACAATGGAGCCAGTGATAGCAGTGGTAAAAAGGTCATGAGTGGAGTGGTTTAAATCTTCAATGAACATGAAAAGTGATGGATAGTACCATGGATTGTTGCAATCAGGAGGGTGGTATAATCCGGTATCAAGTGTTTCAAAGAAGTTCAGTTTTGTCTTGTTTTTAAGTGAAGCAGGAGGAATAATGGTCTAAAAGTGTCAGGGATCTACTTCTTGCCCTAAGATGTATGAATGTGGAAGAATAAAAAGCCACTGTTTTCCACAAGGACTATAGGTTTTTCATTAGAACAGGACTATGATGAGAATATGTCTGTAAGTTCCACAGGGTTCAGGGGTAGGGGTGTGGGAATAGATGAGAAATAGGTACCTAAAGATAAGACTATGGAAAGAAATGAGATTAGGAATATACAAAGCTTTAAATTTACTCATCTTTTTTTTGGGTTGTCATCTGTGCTTTTGGTGCCATAATTAAGAAATCATTGCTAAATTCAATGTCGTAAAAATTTCCCTCTATGTATTCTTCTAAGAGTTTTATACTTGTAGGTCTTACTTTTAAGTTTGATTCATTTTGAGTCAATTTTTATATATGGTGTAAGGTAAGGGTCCAACTTCATTCTTTTGCATGTGGAAATCCAGTTTCCCCAGCACCGTTTATTGAAAAGACCAACCTTTCACCATCGAATCATTTTAGCACCCTTGTTAGAAATCAATTAACCAGATATGTGAGTGTTTATTTCTGGGTTCTGTGTTTTATTCCATTGATTTTACGTGTCTATCCTTGTGGAAGTACCACGCTATTTTGTTTACTGTAGTTTTGTAGTAAGTTTTGTTATCAGGAAATATGAGTCCTCCAACTTTGTTCTTTTCAAGATTGTTTTGGTTTGTATATAGGTTTTCATAGGTGTTCATTAGCAGGTTGAGGAGTTCCCTTCTCTTCCTAGTTTGCTCAGAGTTTTTATGAGATGTTAATTTTTGTCAAAAGCATTTTCTGCATCTATTGGGATGATCTCATGATGAATTGCACTTAGCTCTGAATGTTAAACCAACCTTGAATTCATGGGATAAATCCCAGTTATGCTGTATTATCCTTTCTAATGTTGCTGGAATCCATTTACAAAAACCTTGGCTAAGAATTATTATACCTAATGTTCATGAAGGATTTTGGTTTTAAGTTTTCTTCCAATGTCTTTTTCTGGTTTTGTTATCAGGGTAATACTGTGGGTATCGAATGAAAATTTTTCCTCTTCAATTTTTTGGGAGAGTTTATGTAGAACTGTTTCTACTTCTTTATTAAATATCTAGTAGAAGCAGGATCTATCAATGAAACAATTGGGGCCTGGAGATTTCTATTTTGGAAGGTTTTAAAACTGTGAATTCAATGTTGAAAATAGGTATAGTCCTGTTCAGGTTATCTATTTTGTTTTGGCAGCGTATAACTTTCGTGGAATTAGTCCATTTCATATAAATTGTCAAATTTGTATGTATAGAATTTTCCTAGTATTTTCTTACTTTCATTTTTGAAGATTTTATTTTTAAGTAATCTCTACACTCAGCATGGGGCTCGAACTTACAACTCCAAGATCAAGAGTCACATGTTCTACTGACTGAGCCAACTAGGTACCCCTACCTTACTATCCTGTTGAAGTCTGTGGGGTCTTTACTGGTATCTTCTCTTGTATTCCTGATATTGGTAACCTGTATGTTTTCTCTCTCTTTCTCTCTCTCTCTCTCTTTATTGGCAGTCTTATAGATATTTATCTTTTATATTTTCAAAGGAACAACTTTTAGTTTCAATTACTTTCTCTGTTGTTTTTCTATTTTCAATTTAATTTATTTCTACTCCTGTATTATTTCCTCCTTCCTCCTGTTTTGGATGTATATTGCTTTTCTTTTCCTAGTTTCTTGAAGTGTAAGTTTAGATCCTTGAGTTTAGACCTTTCTTCTTTTCTAAGAAAAGCAGCTAATGTTATAAATTTCACATTCATCACTGTTTTAGCTACATCCCACAAATTGTGACGTTATATTTTAATTTTTATTCAATTCAAACAGTTCTATTTCCCTTGAGATTTCTTCTTTGACCTGTGGATTACTTAGAAGTATATTGTTTAATTCCCAAGTGTTTGGAGATCTTCATGTTATCTTTCACCGACTTGTAGTTTAATTCTATTATGGTTAGAGAACATACTTTGTAGGAATTCAATTATTTAAAAAAAGTTTAAAGATATGTTTTTTGGCCACTGGTTCAGTGGTACTGATTGCCTTCTCCGATTCCCCTGCTCCTTGAATTCTGCCTAGGATTTTAGTTGCTTTCAGTGGGACAGCAGGAGGCTCTTACAGACTCAAGACAGCCTCCCGCGCTGTGTTCTCACCTGTACAGGTGCCCACTGCACACACCCTTGTAGCTCGGTGCAACCCAATCTCCGTAAGTCCTGCCCCGCCCACAGGTGGTTCGGAACGCAGGGCTGAGCCGGGGACAGGAGTGTGTGCGTGCAGCGGAAATCCCGCCCCCCGGCGCTTGCGGTTGGCCCTGACCGCAAGGGGTGAACCCCTAGGAGGAAGATGAACAGGGTTGAAGGAAGCAGGAGAGATGGGAGGAAGGGCGAGTGGGCTCCTGTTTTCCATTGGCTGGGCCTGCCTCGTAGGCTCTCTGTGATTGGCTGGGCGCGGGGGCGGTAGTCCCGTGTCGGCCCGCCCCTCCGGTCGAAAGAGGCATAGGGATCACCAGCGCCGGCGGAGACAGCGGCTTCTTGGAGGCTGTGTCCGCACGCCGCCGAAGTGTGGCGGCAGGGCCTTAGCGCGTCAGGTCCTCGTCCCCGGGGGCGGCGAGGGCGGCGAGCCGCTGGGGCGGCGCGGGTCGGGACCCAGGGCACGGTCGAGCTAGGGCGCGGCGGGCGTTGGCGCGGCTGCCGGACCTGGGCCTGCGCGGACCGCCCGCGGCGCGCGTCTTGGGCTGTCTTTCCATTTCAAAGTGATTATTCTTTTGGATTTTTCTGCAGACGTGACTTTTCATTAATTTGTTTCACGCACCACTTACTGGTACGGAATAAAGAGGCAGATGCATGCTACTGTCATTTGTCGTTGAAATGTGGGCTTCCTGTCTTTCCTGTGTTTACCTTTTGGATTTAAGGGAAGGGGATGACATTGTGATTTGGTCTCCTGTGACCGTCCATTCTCAATGTCTTGACGACGTAGTACAGAAACCAGGCGAATTCCGTGTGTGGCTTTTACCTATATTGGAAGTAGGCTTTTTCGTTCCTCCTCCTCCTTCCTGTCTCTCCATCTTTCTCTTCCTTTCCTTTCCTTCCCCTCCCCCAACTGTTCTCTTCTCCCATCTTTCTGTGTTTTTGTTTTTTTTTTTCCCCCGCATTAAACCTTGTGGGAGGGTCTTTGTACAATTCTGAAAAGCTTTGGGTGTTCCAACATTTTTATTTTACTTGCAGGACTAACAACTGGGAGGAAGCTGGAGGAAAGATGCCCTCTGATTCTTTCTGTTTGGCTGCCCAGACTCGACTTGACTCCAAATGGTTGAAAACAGATATACAGGTGGGGTTTCCACATGCCTTTTTCTTAGTGTGTTTCTGCCTCCATATTTAATTTTCTGTTTAAAGCTTTATATGGGACAAGTAAGAGGATGCAGATCAGATCTCGCCATGGTAGAGAAGCAGGTTTATTTCCTATAATTTAAAATGTACCTTTATTGTATCAGTTTTTATAGACTGTGGCTACATTTTAATTGAAGTTATGTGTAAGTGCAAGAAACTCGAGATCTGATTATGCAAACATTTTTCCTATTACTATTTTTAAGAGGTCTGTGTTATTAAGTATACCTTGGTGATATTTAGTGATAGTTTTTGAGATGTTCAGATAGGAGGCATGTAGTAATTTATTATGTCCTGCAGAGACTCACAGGACCCTGTGTTTGTGTTCCTGGAGAGACAAGAGTTCATTTGAGCTGTTTGTTTAGTATTTGTGACTGGTCGTATTAATAGGAAGTGCTCAGGTTTTCACATAAAGAATGTGTGGAAACAAAATGTTGGCCTTAGACTTTCTAATGTTTTGATTTAATAATGTAATTGCAAGCTTGTCCAGACATTGTCAAATAAATAATAGCAGTAATGTTTCTGTAGACTTTTTTTTTTTTTTTTGCCACAAGCTAGTTTTCTTTGTAAATGGTTTGTAAAAACTACTTTTGTTAACTCCATATTAACAGGAAAAAGAAGTGTCTGAAATATTTTGTAGTATATATGGGTTTTCTTTCTCTTTCCTGAGGTTAACTGTTTTAACTATTTATCAAGTAATCTACCTTTTTCAGTATGATCTTGCACAGTTTATCAAGAGTCATATATTCTGTAAGCACTTGATCATAGATACTTGAAGTATTATTGCCCTTCCTTTTTTTTTTTTTTTTAATTTTTATTTAAATTCTAGTTAGTTAACATACAGTGCAGCATAGGTTTCAGGAGTAGAATTCAGTGATTCATCACTTACATACAACATCCAGTGCTCATCATAACAAATGTCTTCCTTAGTACCCATCACCCATCTAACCCATCCCCCACCGACTTCCTCCCCTCAGTTCTCTATCTGTAACAGTCTTTAATGGTTTGTTTCTCTTTTTCTCTCTTTATTCCCCCTTCCCATATGTTCATCTGTTTTGTTTTTTAAACTCCACATGAGTGAAATCATATGGTATTTGTTTTTCTCTGACTTACTTTGCTTAACATAATAACACTCTACCTCGATCCACGTCACTGTGCAAGATTTCTTTCTTTATGATGGCTTAGTAATATTCCATTGTGTATTATGTATTTGTGTGTGTGTATATATACACACACACACATATAACATAGATGTATACATACATATATATACACTACCACATTTTCTTTATCTATTCTGTATTCATCAGTCAGGGACATTAGGGTTGTCTCCATAATGTGACTATTGTTGATAATGCTGCTATAAACAGTGGGGTGCATGTACCCCTTTGAATCTGTTTTTGTATACTTTGGGTAAATACCTATTAGTGCAAATGCTGGATTGTAGGATAGTTCTATTTTTAACATTTTGAGAAATCTCCATGCTATTTTCCAGAGTGGCTGCACCAGTTTGCATTCCCACCAACAGTTATTGCCCTTTCTTAATTTTTTTTTTTCTTAAGTGTTGAGTCTCAAGTCATGATCTCATGGTTTGTGGGATTGAGCCTTGTGTTGGGCTCTGTGCTGGCAGCACAGAGGCTGCTTGGGGTTCTTTCCCTCTCTCTCTGCCCTTTCCCCGCTCACGTATGCACGTGCTGTCTTCTCTCTCAAAAATAAATAAATAAACATTAAAAAAAAAGTGTTGAGGCCTAGTAGGTATGAGAGCCAGGTGCTTAGAACTATGTTGTGGATTTTGGGATTGTTATTAATGGTATAATGTTAGATTAAAGCACAAAGAATTGGGTTATGAATTGGCATAGTAGTGACTCTTTTGGTTTGTCATTGTTTAAACGTTGCCTTTTATTTGGCAATTACTGTTCATTTTCTTTTGTTATTTTTTTAAAAAGTGGGGTTGTGGGAGGTAAGATGAGTAATTTCTTATTTCTGAAATCTTGAGATTCAGGGAAACTGATTTTAAGGCTTGTTTTTTAAATTAGTGTTTTTGTATTTTGCAAAACTTGTTGAAGTAAAGAACTTTATCTCATGAAGTTTTTCTTTTCTTTTTAATCACTATTGAATACTGCTTAATGTGAGTTTTAACATCTTGATCTAAAACCAGTTTAATGCTGAGTTTAGTGCCTATGATGATTCAGGCAGATATGGTTAAAAAGAAACACTGCTTATGCTTTAGAGTGCTTACTATTTTCCTTTTGATTTAATGTAACATACGGTGCTTGGCCCTTCATAGATATTTCAAATGTTAGTCAAAGTCATCCAAACTTATCCCAGGAGTAAGTGAAGAGATCTATGTTTTGGAGAGTGCACCAGAGGGAAAATGTGTTTTAGGTATTGAAGCCACTTAATATCATGAAAAAGGTGATCATGGACCTTGGTTATATATAGTTTCTCAAGCATTGCTTATTATATGTGAGGAATAAATGTCATTTTACCCTAAGAAATGACTTAGACATAGTTTCACTCTTTGGAATCCTTCCCGCAGACACACATTGCAGATGCAAGCCTTGTACTGATAGGTTTTACCCTCTCTACCAACTGGAGTGGGAAGTGCCCCATTTCTTAGGTGGAGCTTTTGTATTGGGAACAAAATTGATAACTGGTTAATTAATATTATGTGGGGTAGAAACATGTTTCTTAACCACAGGATTTAGCAAATCTATTTTCTACAGCTATTTTTGTTTGAAATGTCCTTGAGGTTTTTAGCAACTTTAGAAAAGAAAAATTTTTAAAGGCTATGAAAACTTTTAATATGTGTATATTATGAAAAGCATGGACACTGATCCTAGACTTTCTTGTTAAATGTGTCAGGCCTAGGATGTTGCAACGAGCTGCCCCTAATGGAGTGACAATTGTATGGCAGGCGTATATCTGGCTTTTACATATATAATGCTTTTTGCGTTTTCTTTAAAATTTTTTTTTAATGTTTATTTATTTTTGAGAGGGAGACACACACAGAGTGTGAGCAGGGGAGGGGCAGAGAGAGGGAGACATAGAATGTGAAGCAGGCTCCAGGCTCTGAGCTGTCAGCACAGAGCCGGACATAGGCCCGAACTCACTAACCACGAGATCATGACCTGAGCCGAAGTCGGACACTTAACTGACTGAGCCACCAGGCACTCCTGCTTTTTATGTTTTTGATACTCTTCTTTTTTTTCTTTTAGAATTAAAAAAAAAATTTTTTTTTAACATTTTATTTATTTTTGAGAGACAGAGCCCAAGTAGGGGAGGGGCAGAGAGAGAGACACACACACAAAATCTGAAGCAGGCTGCAGGCTCTAAGCTGTCAGTACAGAGCCTGATGCAGAGCTTGAACCCACAAACCACGAGATCATGACCTGAGCTGAAGTTGGATGCTTAACCAACTGAGCTAGCCAGGTGCCCCTTCAATACTCTTTTCTCATTGTTGTGTGGAGTACTTTGAATTGGCAGTTCTTCACAACTCTCTTGAAGAGTCAATAAAATACAGAGCTAAGAGATGTTATCTACATAATCACTACCGTTACCATTTTTTATATTTAAAGTAAAAGTCCTGTTTGATGTGATTGGTAGTTTCTGAGTGAACTGAAAAGTCAATTAAGCAAAGGAACTATAAAAAATAGTTTTTTTTAAAGGTATATGATACCTTAAAACCTTTTTATTCTTTTTTTTTTTTCTTAAATTTGATTCAAGAGATAGCAAAAGGGGGAGGGGTAGAGAAAGCAAGAGGGAGAGAGAGAATCTCAAGCAGGCTCTACACTGTCAGTGCAGAGCCCTATGCAGGGCTCCATCCTATGAACCCGGAGATGATGACCTGAGCTGATATCAAGAGTTGGATGCCTAACTGACTGAGACACCCAGGTGCTCCAAGAGCTTTTTATTCTTAAATCATATATGCACATTTATTTGCTAGTCTTGATGTAAGGCTAAGGGTATGTCTTTGAGCATGGTCCAAGAATGGTATTATCCTTTTCTTGCATAATCTGTACTCAGATTAATCTCCTTACAGTTTCTATTTTTGGGTTCTTTGAAGTAGAGCATGAAATTAGATATGTATGATGCAATTTTTTTTTAACTTTTTATTTTGAAGTAATTATAGACTCATAGGAAGTTGCAAAGAAAGTGGAGACGTCACTGTATACTCTTCACCCAGACTCCCCCAGTGGTTACATCTTATATAACTATAGTACAGTATCAAAACCAGGAAATTGACATTGGTACAATGTGTATATAGTTCTCTGCCAATCATGTAATTATACCACAAAGATCTGCCTCTTGCTCCTGTATAGTCACACCCTCCTTACCCCACCATCTCTGACCCCTGGCAATCACTAGTCCATCTTCCATCTTTTTAATTTTGTCATTTTGAGAATGTCATATGGTAATGTGACCTTTTGAGATTGGTTTTGTTCATGGTGTAATGCCCTTGAGGTCCATCAAAGTTGTTGAGTATATTAATAACTAAACTCGAATCATTTGTCTCTTCTAATCATCAATTTAAAATGAGTAAAGATAAGTTAAATATTAAATAAACATAAAATTATTACATGTATATACTGTCACTTTATGCTTGGAAATATCAGTACCTTAAAGAACATAAAAGTGATCATCTTGGTAAATTCTATTCTCAGGTTTTCCAGTTGACAGATGAGATGTAGAAATAAAAGAATTTTGTAAATACAGGTAACTTAATATTCATAATGGTATCTTTTGATTAATTTCTTGTCTGTAGGATAGGTAGCGTACCTCACTTTTTTTTATTGATGAATTTGGTTGTCTTTTTCTCTGTATTTTGGATTAATTTTATCAGAGCTTTATACATATTGTTAGTCTTTTTTTAAAAAAAAATAACTGTTCTTAGAAAAGACTAATAATGTTTATAAGGAGAATATAATAAGGTTACCATCACAC